TCAAATTTGGTGAGTACATTTCTTTTCTTTTTTCCTCACTCTCCCCCTCCCCCCCCCCTCTCTCTCTCTCTCGTTAGATGTTGAAGTTGATGTCCCTGAGTCTCTTGATATATCCAGTCTAAGAGGAGGAGGTATTCAACCAGGAGAAGTTGAACTACCTGAAGAAACCGGACCAGCACAACCTGAAGGTAATAGAACACACTCAATTTAATTTAAAAGATTTTTATGATAAATAACTTTGTAGTTGAGATTGATGAAGGTGTGTTGTCACAATTAGCCGGAATGGGGTTTGACATTGAAGGCTGCAAGCGTGCCATATACCACACTAAGAACCAAGGCAGGTTCCCATACTCTCATATACTGGTACTGGAATGAATCTTGTGTGTTTATTTATAGGAATAGAACCAGCCATGAATTGGGTACTGGAACACATGGGAGACCCTGGTACGTGCCTTTACCAACAGACCAATGTAAATGTTATACTATTAATATTTTATTATTTTTAGATTTTACGGATCCATTTGTTCCTCCTGGTAGTGTCAAGTCAGCAGGGGGTGGGGCTGATAAAGGAGGTGGGGCCAGTGAGGACTCCATTGCTATTGTAATGTCACTGGGTTTCACTAGAGAACAAGCTATGAAAGCTTTGAAGGCTACAGTGAGTCAATTAATAATAATGTGATCAAATGATAAATAGTATATCAGTTTATGCGACCCGAATATTAATCATAGCTCAAAATTTTATCTATTTTTAAGTAAATACACAATCATTACAGTTACAATTTTAAAATGAATGGCTGTTGATTATACTTTTTATTATTGCTAGGATAATAATGTAGAGAGAGCTGCTGATTGGGTGTTCAGTCATATGGATGAACTACAACAAATGGAAGAAGGAGAAGGTGAAGAACCAATGGAAGAGGAACAGTTCAGTGATGGGTCTGGAAGTGAGTGTTGGTCTTTCAATAGCATTACACTTGAACCCCACATGTAATTCTCATTTCCATTAATTTCTAATATAGTATATGCATGATAAAAAGGAATAGAGTCTATTCCTTTTATCATGCATACTATACCTGCCAATAACCTTGCTAGTCCATTCTCTGGTTATGCAGCACCACCAGAGAATAAGCACCATCACCACCTAAACACTTCCATTCAAATTATGCTACCCACTTAACAGCAATTGCTTGATCGAAGAATTTATCTAGTCAAGTACATCAGCATTTAAATCAGTTGCAAATATTCTGTGAAGAAACCTGCTATCTTTTTTGTTCCCCCCCCCTTTCTCTCTCAGAGTACAGTCTAATAGCATTCATCAGTCATATGGGTACCTCAACAATGACTGGTCATTATGTGTGTCACATTAAGAAGGATGGGAAGTGGATCATATTTAATGACAACAAAGTAGCCGAGTCTGTGGCTCCACCTAAAGACCATGCCTATCTCTATTTCTACAAGAGAGAACATTAGAACACTGAGAGTGTATTACTATCAGTATCTGTTTTGTACTGTTATGTGGAGTTTAAATATTATTTGACTATAAAAAAGACAATAATGATCACAATAAAGCTATAAAGTATCAATCAAAAAACCCCACACAATTTAATAATTCAAGCATTAATAAAGCACAATCTCTAGTTTTGCATAATAAGAATACATTGCTAATATAATGAAACACGCTCAACTCAATTTTGTGTATCAAGTAGCGGTCTTTTCAATTCTTCAACAGCAGTAGTAATAACTGGTTGATTATTGCCTGGTAGCAGGTCATCTGATGTAACTGAAACATGGCGTTCATCATATTGTTGGGGATTTTCAATACGATCAGCAACCCAATCATTATCTAGTGGCAAATAAGCTTCTTCTTGATCATTAATAACCACTGGATTACTTCTCTTATGATAATGATAACATGATTTTGTTATTTTGTATACCTTGTAGATTATATAACCTGGTATAATAATGACAAAAGCTAGGCCATTTAATACTGGTATTGCATACAAATAAGTAAACCTTTAATCCCAATGAAGAAGAATACTAAGACTGCTTACATATCCAATACCAGAAACTACAAACATAATTAAAAATTCAAAAAAATTATGAATATTTCTTCGAAAGGGGCGAAAAATGATAAGAGTTACCGCAAGTAAAAATGAACAAAAAGCTTGAGAGATTGGTATGCAATATACAAAGAAATAAGACATTATGAACTGAATTAAAATGATTATTCTTGCCAGTAGGTATAGTCCAGCCATGAAACGATAATCATAAGTATTCTCAGTTCCATTCTTATAAGGACCAGTAAACACATCACCTAGTGATATCAGTAGCTGCTTCCTCAAATGTAAACAATCCAATAACTTTTGAAACCATTTGAATCGATAAAACAATATATAAAGGGTTGGTAGGACGATCAAAAACAATAAAACTATAAAAGCAATAAAACCAGCAAAGCCATGCCACCCTTGAAAATACTCTTGATTTGTATCATAATAGAATGTAACATTATTATTGTCTAAAATATTAAAGCTCAATATTTTAAACGAAGTGGCAGCTAATTGAGTGAAGCAGAGTATATATATTGATGCTATAGAGTGAGTAAAAGATGGTTCAATGCCAGTCATACTCCAGAAACGAGCCATGCAACGATGAAATGGTCTAGTAATAAATACTACACACTTGAAACCTTTATCATACAATGTCATCCAGCCATAGAGTAAGAGGAGGAGGAACAATGGATAGAGTCCTATCCCATACCAAAAGGAAATTGCTCCTAATGGTGACATGTGATGTGATATACATAATGGATAATTAAATAGAAATGGAGTTAAGTCTAAATTGAAGATATAGCATGGAATAGCACTTAAGTGTTGTAATATTGTGAAAGCAAGATGAAGTGTATTATCCTTAACAGGGCTATTAAGGCCATTTATAGACAGAACGATTGCTATCAATTGAGAATAGAATACCAGAGCATTTATTGATCCATTGGTTAGTTGTATATTGAATATTATTATTAAAATTACCATTAGTGTCACTGGTACTAGCTCTACTCCAATAAACAATACGATTCCATATTTCAATGGTTCTGTACAGTTAATGCAAGTTAATCTGTTAATGGGTACTCCAGTATCATTTGTACAAATTGATAAACATTGATCTGTACTGTCATCATAACAGCATTCACCATAGCAAAATAAGCATTCAATGTCATAATCATCATCACTGTAATGATATGTAAATGGCAGCTTATGCTTAAAAGTATCATTACAAAATTGTGTCTGTGCATTCCCCATTAATTAATAAACGATAGGGGCCACATGTAGCACTCACATTTACTGTCACTGTAGTATTAATGCTGATTAGACCAAGTGTTTCAATGTATACTGTTGTTTCAATTGGGTCAGCATTAATACTGCTATTGAAACACTTGTCAAATTGATAGTAATAATACTGGTATGGACTGGAAGCAGGTTCATGGATGCTTGCATTGCGGTAACAAGAGTTGTTAACACATAGTTTTATATTATTTTTCCAGTCATATGTTTTCATATTACAGTTATCAGTCACAGAAACTGTGAACTGAGGATACTCACATTGACAGTATTGGTAATTATATGGATTTTGGCATTGATGGGTTACATAATAATTAGAGTCATAGCATTGTAGAGGGAGATTTATAAAGTGAGCACTCAAAGTCAGATTATTGCAAATCTCTTGTTGTAGTTGATTATGTGTAGTAATATTAAAGGATGATTCAGTACATGTAAGAGGAACATTGTTACAATTATAAAGACTAACACATTCAAATACAATATACCTCAACCAGTTATATGAAGAAGACGAAACATGTAGACGCGTGATACTAACCTCTTCATATCTACTACCATCCCTCATACCAATAATACTCACATTATTCCTCAGTAGCTGTGCCTCTAGTAGACTAGTAGTGTCTAGTGTATATGTACCAGGAGACAGGTTGATAAGGATACCTGATGAACAGTTGTATTGTAGAGTAGCAGTTCCTTGTATAGCTAGATCAATAGTAGCACAAGGTGTTTGAACTCCTCCAGTCCAACAAGAGGTATTGTTGATACCATGAGATGAACTGACATAGATCCTACACTCCAAACCAGCAGCAGAATATACTAGAACAAGAGAAAGAAGAGAGACAAGAACCACTTTAGGTAGCATCATTCCACCAGATGATTTCTAACTCTTCAGGCTAAACTAGTGCTTTATATACTGTTCATTCTAAACAGGAAATACATGTACCATAATTGATTAAAATTTAATTTTGGTATATTCCTAACAGTAATGACAAGTGATCTTTGTACAATATTCATATATCACAACTGTCAACCCATTTGTTCATGTTGTACCTGACTGGGACAGTTTGACTGCAGTAACAGTTCTTATTGTTTAAGGTGCATTCTTGACAGTATATTGACAAGTGATCTTTGTACAATTTGTATCACTACTGTCAACCATGTTATACCTGACTGGGACAGTTGACTGTACACCAAACAGCTATTGTTTAAGGTAGATTCCTGACAGTATTGATAAGTGATCTTGGTACGATAATGTATCATAACTGTTAACCCATTCCTTCATGTTGTACCTGACTGGGACAGTTTGACTGCAATAACAGTACGTGATCATCAATAGGCCATACCATCAAAAACAATAACATACCATTAGAGTGGTATGTTATTGTTCTTTATGCATTAAGTGTTTTTCGTGTCGATTTTAACTTTATTAAAAATAATAATTAATATAAGAAAAGCTAATAACAAAACTTAACTAATCAAAAATAATAATAATAATATATCTAACGTCTTAACTTTACAGTACTCACAACTCTTTATCACGCCTACTCAATTGGACTCATGTCCGTATCTATAGCAACGCAATTATAAGCCGCATAGCGCAGTTTAGAGGCAGCCTGTTCCACCGTGGTATAAGAAGGAAGATAGAGAGCATTAGAACAGGTAGCAGAAGTGGGTAGAGATGAAGGACCTGTATCTGCTGAATCAATGTAAATGGTGGTTGGTAACCTTCTCCTGCCGGTTATGAATCGGATGAATCTTGATCTTTCCTCGTTAGTAAATCCTTCCAAAGCTTCCCACATAACCTTCACATTGGAAGATGTAGGAGAAAGATCGCTGTCATATTTTGCTGATTTTTTAAGCTCTTCTATAGATATCTCGGGACTGCCGCAAACTTTGACCTCAAGTTCCTGCCAGGTGAGAAGAGCCAGGACCTGCTGAGGGACGACTTGAGTGAGTCCTTCCTTAATGGCCGATATCTGAGCCTGGCTCTCACTCATTCTCACCTTCTTAACGAGACGACAGTACTCCAATCGATCCTCATACGTCACGTAACGGTCCTCTCCGCCGGGAAGGAGGGGGACCGTCTTTCCGTTACTAAGGACAGTCGTGAAGTTAAGAACTTCAGCAAATGTTGAATCAAATATGGACGCCTCCATTGTCTCTATGGAGTCTATAAGTTTAACTTCAGCGGAATCAACGGACACGAAATCCCTTGTCCAAGTGACAGGCTCCCCCACCAGCTGCTTCCAAATAAACTGAGGGAGAGAGAGTACCAGTATCTCTTGACTGCGGAACGTTCCCCCCATTAGCTGACCCACAAAAGAATACTTTGCAAACTGCTCACAGGAAGGATTAGGAGTGTAAGCGTCACGGTACACGTTGGAGGAGTCCTGACTTTGGTTGGGACTTCGTATAAATAAAGGAAGAGAGACATCGACGTCTAAAGATGGCGGACACAACTCTTCAGCGATATCAGAGAGAGAGTCCCTAAAACCCCCTCCCTGGTCAATGACGCCCTCTTGAAGGAACTTACACTCCCACCACTGGGTCCAGTGCCCCGCCCACCTGAAATTATACTCCGAAGGTTTGGTGTGTTTCTTAAGCTCAGACATCAGCTGGTTAAAGACCGTCTTCTTCTGTTCTGGGTCTATGGTGGGATCCTCCCTGTGTTGTTTGGCTGCTATTCGGTTTATGTACACAACTGGCATATCAGAAGGAGGTTTTTCGGTTGTTTTCTGCAGCAGCTGCTCAATGAGGGCATTACGAGAGCTACATAAAGGCCAGAGTTGCCTTAGGGATGTCACGGCCCCCAGACCCCCGCGAGAATACTGCCACTGTGGTAGTATATACGAGAGATCCTTATCAATGAGACTGGCCACTCTTTTAAGAAGGATAGAGCGATGGAAGAGCTGGCGTGGTGTAAAGGAGTCGAGTTTTGGCCAACGAGAGGTGGACTCAGAAGTAAAGATATCCTCACAGACATTCTCAGACTCTGGTATTATCATGCAGGCAGTTTGACAGACCAGCTTGATACCGTGTATGCGTGTGTCAATGCCTCCTTGATAACAAGCCTTAATGCAAACTTCAATGACTGAGTAATAGGTGGAGAGAGGAAATGGGAATAATTCAAGCTCCCTTTTAGAGAAATCTGATGGGCTGAAGGTTCTTTGTGATATTGTTTCGCGGTTTGATTCCGTTCCGGCTTTAACGACTACCCTACGTGGGAGGTAGCTGCTGTCATCAGGATCAACGAGGAGAGAGAACTTTTGGACCACCACGCCGGGTTTCATGAAGAACTTGAGCCAGTGGGAGCCTTGATCACCGTCTGATTCCCAGGTAGAGTCAAAGTCTTGATCCATCAGGTTGACAATCTCTGACTATAAAAGAAGAGGAAAGGAGAGTGAGTAACATCAATGAACATGTGTATATTTTTAAAATGGCCGTAAGTTTAATTCGGAATCAGCTCAAACTTGCTACACAGCATAAGTACATCAATATGTATCAGAAAATGTAATAAAAATTGGGGGTAATTTTTTGGCCATTTTTCGGAAAAAACCATGGGCTATAGTACAGGGATTTTTTTCAGATTTAGGCCTATTTTTTAAAATGGCCGTAACTTGAAAAATTGAAGTCAGAATCAGCTCAAACTTGCTACACAGCATAAGTACATCAATATGTATCAGAAAATGTAATAAAAATTGGGGGTAATTTTTTGGCCATTTTTCGGAAAAAACCATGGGCTATAGTACAGGGATTTTTTTCAGATTTTGGCCTATTTTTTTAAATGGCCGTAACTTGAAAAATTTAAGTCGGAATCAGCTCAAACTTGCTACACAGCATAAGTACATCAATATGTATCAGAAAATGTAATAAAAATTGAGGGTGATTTTTTGGCCATTTTTCGAAAAAAACCATGGGCTATAGTACAGGGATTTTTTCAGATTTTGGCCTATTTTTAAAAATGGCCGTAACTTGAAAAATTTAAGTCGGAATCAGCTCAAACTTGCTACACAGCATAAGTACATCAATATGTATCAGAAAATGTAATAAAAATTGAGGGTGATTTTTTGGCCATTTTTCGGAAAAAACCATGGGCTATAGTACAGGGATTTTTTCAGAAATTGGCTCATTTTTAAAAAATGGCCGTAACTTGAAAAATTTAAGTCGGAATCAGCTCAAACTTGCTACACAGCATAAGTACATCAATATGTATCAGAAAATGTAATAACACTAAATTTGGGATAATTTTTTAGCCATTTTTGGTAGTCTAGTCAATACCTCAGCACTTGATGCTTCAATCTTAACTAAATATTCACTTCCTTGTGCCGTCACATCGGAATTAAACTTGCTATTATTCTTCACAAGAAACTTTGCTAGTTCCTCATCAGCCTCCAGAGTCCAGCCAGGCAGAGGGTTCTGAAGGAGTGCAATGAGTTCCTCGTCTCCGTCAAGAGTAGGCTCCGCCCTTGAGAGTTGGAGCGAGCAGCACTGTTCAACTGCATCCATCCACGACTGAATATCCTTTTCATTTGATTTCGTTATTTTGAATTTAGTCTGAAGAGAAAGGAGAGAGAGTGGATAATCAGGACATCGTGTACTTTATATAAAATAAAAAATATATATATACACATTATTTATTTATAACGTGGTATAGAATATGAAACCAGACTTCAAGGTGTCAAAATTAAATCCATCTAACAAGAAAAATCGTCACCTTGATACTCCTCTCATTAGGCTGGACCAATATCCAGTTGTTTTCAAATGGCTTGATAGTCTGGAACCATCCACCGTCTTTATTAAAACAAGGAAATCCTTTGACAGTCAGGAGGTGTGTCTTAGCCGCCATTAGTTTGTTTAGGACAGGACTCTTGAGGTCTGGCTTCTCGTGTAGCTCTACCTGCTCCCCCGAGAGTTTATCCGGTTGGCATTCAAGAGTTAGTTGTGTAGGAACGTAGCAGAGTGGCTTAGGGAGGCTCTCCCCTCTCTGCATGGCCTCCACAGCTTGTACAAGACATCTTATTCGACCAAGACGTGTTCGAACTGGATCCGCCATTTTTTCTTTATTGGCCACGCCTTTCTTAGTATCCTGATCTCCGCTCGTGTTTGGATACTTGATTGTATTATTATTAGGATACTTATACCACGTGTGTCATCGTGTGCAACTATCTAATCTATGAGTCCTTATGAAAATGGGCGTTTAAGTCAAAGCCTGCTGCTAGGACTGGAACAAAGGAATTAGAAAAGAGAAGTAACTTGGTAAAAGTTAGTTGCAGCAATAGGTCTAATTCTCTTCTACATGTACACTGTGCACTTAACTGGATTCTATCTACCTACTAGTCTAGATTAGTCTTATGTCTTATTTCTTTCATATTTTACTGATAACAAAATCATTCAACCTAAAGCTGAACCAATCTCTTTTCTTGACTTTTTGACACTGTGTAGTCTGCAGCTTCCTTTGTGTGAACCCATATATCTGCTGTGTGTAGTTACTGGTTGACCATATGACCACACCTGCAACTTCTCTGTCATCTGATATTCTCAACAGTGGCCAGATGTTAGGGCTCTCCTTCTTTGCTGCTTTTCTACTGCTAATACAACATGGAAAGGGTCAAAATCCTAGCAATCTACCATCTAATGGTGAGACAATGTCAATGGGAAGTAAAAAGTTTGCTAACATGAGTTTTACAATTGGCAGGTGTTCAACTTTATCTACCTTTTCAGGACAAGATAATACCTAATTACTCAATGATAGATGCTATGCAGTTTTATGATATAGATAAAAATAATGATCCAGACAATACCAATGATGCTTTGTGGTGTCAGAGTGCTAATAATCGCTCTAACATTGGAGTGTGGTATTACCCTAATGGAACTGAAGTTCCATTGTTTCATGGAAATTTTGACAACGTTTCAGCTCCCAGACCAGTGTTCACTAAAAGATATAAAGGTCAAATTGCTCTAGCACGAAAACTGAGCATAGCTGGCTTTGAGGGTTTGTACAAGTGTGTCATTCCTGATGAGAATGAGGTCTATCAAACACTGGTGGTTGGAGCGTATAGGACTTCAACATATAATCAGAATGGTGGGTATGGTATACTGTGTTGTATTTCCTTAATATTCCTTTTGTATGTCTCCAGATGGTCCAGATGTTGACTCCTTTATGAAGTTCTCTCTTCTCTCTGCAAACAGATTAGCTACTCCTTCTGTCTTTAGTCTCAGTTTTAGAGTATACGATAGTCCCCCTACTACCGTCAATTGTACAGTGAATGGGAGTAGAATATCTATTGATGATCTGTCTCGTGTGGTAATGAGTGGCTCAGCATCTGTTACTAATGTGATAGTAACATTGAAATCAAGAGAAGCTGGTAACTATCAGTGCACTGTATCTAATGAGAGAGTATCTAATGGGACTATTAATGGTATTACTGCAATGGCCAACACTTCATCATTGTACATTAACGGTAAGTGCTTTAAGAGTAGAAATATAGACTTTCCAAAGTCTAAATGGCTATATCCCATGGGACGTGGATAGGGCTTTGATCACACCACTTTTCATTAGCTGATATTTTCTAGTAATTAGCAATAGAGCATGGCATCTGTATTTAACATATGTTTACTATTGACTAGCCAAAGTGATGATAGGCCACTGCTTCAAAGCAAACCATCTTAGATTAGACATGTATACACCCACTCACTATCTTTTTTCTACCTTTAGTATCTGGTATGCCTACTGGCTTAAAAACTGTGAGACTAAACAGTAGTCTAACTCATCTAAGGCTCCTGTGGTCTCATGTACAAGGAGCAGCTGGTTACGAAGTATTCTGCGAGCATTTAAACAATAGGAGCATCTCAAATACGACCACTCCTTCAGTTACCATTACATCTGACCTCAGCCTTTCAGCTACATACACTTTCTATGTCATGTCTTACAGCAACGGAGCATCTCTGCCCAGCAATCCCAATGTAGCTACAGTGACACTAAGTGAGTGATGAGTAGTACTTATTTGATTATGATACGTGTGTTTACATTATCAGCTCATCCTTCGGTCGATGATCTGAGGCACAATAGCATTACTAGTACTAACATTGTACTATCATGGAGTCCTCCTACTGACGTGACACCAGCAAATTATACTATTTGTCGTAGATGTCATAGAGTTTGTGGATCAGTGGAGACTTTTATGAATTTTACTGCATCAGTTCCTCAACATAACTCAACCAATATCCTTCCTTATAGCAATTGTGCTTTTGATCTTATTGGATTGTACGGAAGTGAAGAGTATATTTTGAGCCGTAATTTTAATGCCACTACTTCCGCATCCAGTAACTTGCAACATATTAATTTTATTATTTTATTTTCTTTATAACAGGACCTACTTCACCAGTTGGTAACATTATCTTCTCGTCAGTCAGAGCTGAGTCCATGATTGTGTCTTGGGACGAAGTTCCTTGCTCTGGTAGAAACGGGCCAATCACTGGATATAGCCTGACATATACCAGCGTCACTTCAAACATTAGTTTTACTGTTAATATCACTAGTGGAGATAACAGAACACTCACACTCACTGGATTATTACCAAACACTGATTATACTGTGAGTATCAGTCCTTATAATTATGGCTTATTAGGACCAACTGAGATAGTCTCACACAGAACAGCTCAATCAAGTAAGTATTGAATTATAGTTTAAACTAAAGATGCATATTGTATAACTTTTATAGTCCCAGGTCCCATATCTAATCTGATACCGACTGATACTAATATTCAATTCATTAACATTTCATGGAATCCACCTGCAATCTCCAATGGACTCATTACAGTGTATGAAATTAGATATAGAGATCAGGATGATACTACCAAACCATATGCTACTATGAATACAACTACAACTCAACACTCAATCAGTGGATTGTTTCCTAATTCCACTTATGCTATTAGTGTGAGAGCATACACTGCCATTGGGCCAGGCCAATGGATTGATGATACTGTATTATCTACTGATGAAATACGTGAGATTTTTATATTATTTGTTCTTATTATTATTATTTTATTTTTAGCTGTTGTACATAATTTCTCTGTCACTTATCTCAATTCTACAGCGGTCAGTGTTAAGTGGGTTCCCAATGGAGCGACCTATTACAGGGTCTTCTATTACACTAGCAATTGTAAAGCACAGTTTGTCACTTATCCTGGCGATATCAGAGAAGCTGCAATAGGAGGATTCTGCAGCTGTCTTGAAAATGAATTCTCAATATCGGCAAGTTTTGAAATAAGTGGGAAAGTATTTGAAGGTAAAAAAAGTCCACCAGTTTTACCAGGTAATGATACTTTGATAGCTACTGTATAAACATTTGGTTATTACAATTGATAGTAAAACTAATCAGCAGTAGTTCTTCAAGTAGCACTGAACCAACAGCAACTTCTATAACTCAATCCACACCTGGAACAACAGCAGTTTCTGAAACTAACAGCACTTTAATGGCTGCAGTTGGACTGTGGGTGGCATTAATACTGCTTCTCCTTTCTCTGATCATTAACGTTGTACTAATGTTAGTGTTGATCTTATTGTGTAGAAGATTAGTTGCTACTAATCCAAGGTATAAAATAATAAAGCATTCTTAATATATCGTGTCTTCATAGAAAAGGAGTTGCTGCCACTATACAGTACCCTGAGATAAGGTAGTTTTATTATTAATTTTATCATTATTATAATTTATTTAGGGAATGTCGCGAAACTGATGATTACATTGAAATGAAAGCTAGTCCAGCATATGATAAAAAGTGAGTGTAGATGTATATTAATTCTTTCAATTTTCATTTTGTTTATTTATTTATAGCTTGAAAGTTGAGCCAGTTTATGAATCAACTGATGAAATAATATATGAAACCACTCGTTAGACTCTCATCATTTAACCTAATAATTTCTCCATAATCAGTGACACCTTCCCTTTTGAACACTTTCTTACTATTTTTGTTATGACCTTCTCTTATGTCACACCTGATTGTCATTTTGTTAATCAATATTCATAGTGAATGTGTTAATATGTGAATTGCACCAGAGAGACCACGTGTAACCTAATAATCCACAAAATCCCAAGGCATAATAATCAACATATATTAATAATAATACTAGTTTTTACTTACACGTAAGTACATGTAAGAGATTCAGTTTCAGTCTTGACAAGAGACCAGCTCGCATACAATCCATCAACCATTAACGCTGCAATTCTTGATGGACATTGATCAAGATTTCTACTGCAATGGACAATAGTACTAATGTAATCAGAACGACAAGTTTCGTTGTTATGATATGGTTGTACTGGGAATGGATTGGCTATCATTATAGTGTACCCAGCTAGCAAACGACCCGTTCGTCCATTGCCATCAGAGAAAGGATGAGTATCTACAAAATTCAATAATAACCACGCAGCAGCCTTGATTGCCATAACAAGCTTTTCTTTTCTTGATAAATTTAAATTGTGCATTTCTTGCATATGTTCATTATGACGATCAACAACAGTGTATAGCCTATCCTCAATTCTTTCAGGTGGTGTGTAGTAATACTTCTCTCCATCTGGTCTAATGGTGTATGTTACTGTCGTCCTTATCTCTCCAGCATTATCATGAAGCCCATCCATTAGTATCCTGTGTATGCTGCATATTTGCTGGACAGTGATCATTCCAGTTTCCTCCATTTCATGATGCATCTCCTCCAGCTTTTGAAGAGCTTTAAACGTATTCCAAGTTTCCTTATCTCTTTGGGCAGAAGGAGAGGACACACTTTCACAAACTGATTTGGTCTCTCCCTCTTCTTGTGTTCCTACACCTTCCCCAATATTAGTCTGGTGAACAAAATGAAAATCAGGGCTCCTCACGGCCCTCCCTTCATCTAGCTTCTCTAATATCTCTTCTAACAACTTGGAGGATGATTTGTTTTCTCCCTCCGCTCTCCATGGAGGCCTCTCTTCAATCTTAGAATGATTTAGCGTGCCAAACATTGCAGACAGAATGACTATATAATACTATATGCTTTCAACTGTCTGTCTGTCTTCAGTGTCTAGCTTCTTCGTTTCTAACTTTCTTTCAAAGATATTTTATGACGTCTAGGAGGTGCTCAAACCCACGTGTTTGCACGTTGCGCAATTCGCAGCCACTCCCACAAAAATGAGTTTCACAACTTTAAACTTACATAATATTCACCTTCTATTTAGTAGAAGGAGCATGAATATCATTTTAACCATGAGATAGGATTACTACCACTACCATTACATGAATATATTATGACAAAAACAACAATAACAATAATAATAATAATAATAAATTAACAATTGCAATTTTGGTTGACAAGACAGTGTGTGTGTGCATATAAGTTCAGTTCATGATAAATTCTTTGTTTCTTCAGCTACAAGTCTGTACATAAACTGGAAATAAAGTGCATTGTTACGCTGTCTCTCTCCTTCTTTGACCTCTTCTCTTAATGCCTCAATCTCTTGCCATAGCTAAGGAAGAGACATGAAGATGTACAAAGAGAAGACATGATGGAAGAAAATATGAATGCAATGTGACATGTACATGCACATAATCAATAAGATATAGTAAGAGCAGATAAGGGAATGGTTTAGTGTACTGGACATACTCTTTCGTTTTCATCAATAGTTTCCTTCAATGCAACTCTTCTCTTTTCTGCCATTACCTCCCAATAAACTGAAGGAGGTGGATCTGTCCATTATAAAGAAATAATGTCACCAAGAGAGAGAGAGGGAGAAGGAAGATAAAATAATATCACACAAGAAGAGTACCCACCATTGCAGCACAGCTGATAGTCTATGCTTTCCTCTGGCTCATGGGTTGCCGGTTCAGTTCTATCAGGAAGGTTATCAGTTTGAGTACCCTTTAGCGATAAACAAAGAACCAAATGAAATCAAATGTCTTTATGATTAGTTACTATAATACAATCCACCATTTTGTTTTATTCTGAGCATGTAAGCAAAATCCTTTACTAATACAGTGCATAACAAATTTCCCAGTTATTATTGATTAATTTCCATTAATCAAGACTCCGCCCACCAAAAATACCTTTTCGACTGTTTTTATTGGCTCCGTCTGTGTGGCGCTAGTCTCCTGTGGAACTCTCTCTATCTCAAAAACTCCTTCTTTATTTACAGTCACTGGTATTTCTGGTAGAAAAGGTGACATTGATCTTGCTATGCGGTCCGTCTTCTTTGCAATCTGTTGCTGTCGCTTTGGAGTTTTGCTTCCTCCCACTAGAACACTGGGATTGCTACAATGAGCCTGTAGTGGTGCTAGTGGCATCGGGTCCTCCTAGAAACCATCAAATTTAAAAAACATGCTCTTCTCGTACTTTTGGTCCTTTCTTTTGTTTTCTCTTCCCTCCTCCTCCTCCAGTGGGTTTACGGGATTCAGTGGCATCCTTTAAGCCAGAGATACTCTTTGTAGACCTTCTCCTGCTCATTCTTTTTTTCAGAAACCAGCAGTGAGTGTCCGAGTTGAGTGATCTACTTTTTCGCGCCAAATGAAAACAAACCTGCTGGGCGGGGGCTTACTACTACGCATGCGCACACTATTCTCCCGCAAAAAATAACAATGATTTTCATTATTTTTTTATTGAAAAATAAATTAAAATTACATCAACAAAACTCTACTGTCCATACTTATCAATTTTAAGCGTTGGGGGAAGGGCAGTCACCCTATCCCTCCAAGGCTTCTCCACCAGCACCATCTCCCCACAGTCCAACACTCCAGCATAAACAATATCACGATAATCCTTAACACAATGACTAGATAACTCTTTCATACTTAAAGACCGTTTCTTCCCGATCACCTCCTCCTCCTCTTTGTCCTCCTTATGCTTCCCTTTTGCTTCATATCTAACAAACAATAGTCTATCCCAATCATATATCATACACAGCCCATGAAGAGTAGGTAATGTGTTGAGGCCTAGGGTCATACTTAAACCTTTCCTTGAGCAAACCCGCATGGCTATATCCTTCAAGAAGGGTCTACCTAAACCCTTTAGCTCTGATTTCTTGAGGTTGAACTTGTAGAATTCCCGATCACCACTAGTAAAGATAAGGAGGGACTCTGACGAGGCAGTGAATGAGAGAGATGGAGGGTAGGTGTTGTCAAATCGAGGTAGTGTAGCAAAGAGTGTCCCATTTAATACATCGAATATCAGTACACGGTATTTCTCACTCATTGCCAGTAAGTACTTACCGTCAGGACTATACTTGAGTTTAATGTATAATCTGGTGGACATCTTTTTCTTTCTTATTTCCATGTCAGTAAATATAACACTGTCCTTAGTCACAGGAGAAGGAACTGATGCTATTTTAATTCCACCATCAGACGGACATACAGCAATACTAGTGTTACTATTAATAGAGTCGTTGTTACTAAATATAGCAACAGCTCGTGATGGCAGAAACTGAGTAGAGATACAGGTAACTTTTGGCTCCAAAGAGTACACCCAGAGCTTCTCGGGATCAGAAAAAGCAACTAGTCTCCCGTCATCAGATATTCCTGAACATACAATGTGCTGGGCCGATGGTGACTTTATTTCTAATAGAAGAACGGGCAGGCCACTAGCTTTGTATAGATCAGACTCCATTTCTTTATGAGTGATAAGACCACTCTTAGCCAATGCGTCTTTATCAGGTGAGCAGACAGTAGAAGACGAGTGATCAGTAGAAACAGACTGAGGCGTTATCTTCCATAGTTTTAACGAACGATTGTCGCAAAACAGAAGAATATTACCTAGCGGTGCTAACTGGAATCGCTCGTTCCAACTTGCAAACGGTGACTGTCTCAAACTCATTTCCTTCTCAAACTCCTCCACTTTATTGAAGCAGAGAACAGTGTCCACGCCCCCAGAACTAAGGACTCCATTCCTTGACACAGCAAGGGATCGGACATCATGAGTGTGTGGGCGTACGTCACATGCCTGCACCCAAAAGTAACCTCCGATCTCACCTTTCCCTCTCTTCTCCACTTTCTTCAGTCGGACAATCTTATGATCGACTCCGGCAGCAAAAAGAATATCCTCTTCGCTATTAACTGCTATTGTTAGCAGGTCGGCATTATGGAGGCTAAAAGACTGCTTAAGAGTTCCATACTTGCTGTTCCAGAAACTGATGCTACCCAGAGAAGAACCACTAACTATCGTATCATCACTTAAAAACTTTACGCTCCAGACAAGAGTGTTCTCCTCTTTGCTGTTCTTGTCCATTGTGATACGAAGGATTGATCTATTGGTCTCAGTGTCGAGGACTCTTAAGGTACTATCAGCACATCCCATGGCAATACGTGGGGCCGTGGGGTGCCAGGAGAGGGAGAGGATCCGTCCATCTTGTTTGACCAGAGTACGGAAGTAGATCAAAGCATCATAACTCAAATCATAAAGACAAACCTGTAATAAAAAAATAATAATCAGGACAGTCAATGAGTATGGGTAGCAAGCACAGTCATGAGATGCTGCCATTGACTCAAAGCTTCAGCATTATTTTGTACTCTAC